ATGGCTCTTTTCCCACACGAAGCAATGCAGATGGACAGCCTCTAAGGAAGCAGCCTGGAGCCACATGACCAGTGACTCGGCCATTTACCCCCTGCGTCCCCTGGGATGAGTTACTTAAGCTGACTGTGCCTCAGTTTCTTCACCTTTTTAATGGAGCCAAGAAACTATCTCGAAGGGTTTTTGTGAAATGTAAATGAGCTGATACCAGTAAAACACTTAAAACAGTGTCTTGCACACAGTAGGAGCTCATGAACTGTTTTCACCACTATCACCATAAGCACCACCACACCTCCTGACACAGTGTCTCCTGAATGTTATTCCATTTAGATCATGAGGACTGGCTGGTGTGGATCATACACAGCAATTACATAAGCCATACCAAACAGTTGCTTTCAGTAATTATGTCAGAAGAAATGAAAGAACCAGTCTATTGTATTCATCCTAGACAACCCGGCTTCAGTTTGTAATCATCCCTTGTCTTTGTTACCTTCTCTTTGGAAAAGAATGTTTCCAAGCACAGATCTTGTTCCAAGACAGTCTGACATGCACAAATCAGAGCTTATAAAACAAATACATTAGATGTTGAATGATCAATATACAAAAAGATCCCAGCTAGAGTTGCTTTAAATCAATGGTTCCTATCCAGAGATGCATCCCAGAATCACCTGTGAAGCCTTAAGAAACGCACGTGCCCAGGAACCCAGCGAGGGAGATTCTGATTCTGTCAGCCTCTTATTTTCCAAAGAGCCGCTGGTGATTCCAATGTATGCCCCAATGACGAATTCTAGTAATCCTACTCCCAGGGTGGGACTCAAACTCATGACCCTGAGATCAAGAGTCACATGCGCTTCCAACTGAGCCAGCCAGACATCCCTTCTCCCAATTAAGAATTCTGACTAGAGGGACGCCTAGGTGGCTCAGTCAGTTAGGCGTCTGCCTTTGGCTCAGGTCATGATCCCAGAGTTCTGGAATCGAGTCTCACATCAGGCTCCTTGCTCAGCGGGAAGCCTGCTTCTCCCTCTGCCTGCCGCTCCCCCTGCTTGTGCTCTCTCTCTCTCTCTCTGATAAATAAATAAATAAAATCTTAAAAAAAAAAAGAATTCTGACTAGGAATCAGTGGTTTTCAGTTCTGGGTGTGTTAAAAAATTCTATGCCTAGGCCATCCCAGCCGCTGAGCAATTTTTTTTAAAGTTTCTTTTCTAATTCCAGTTACTTAAAATACAGCCATATGAGTTTCAGGCGTATGTTATAATGATTCAATACTGCCATACATCACCCAGTGTTCATCACCTGACAGCGCACTCCTTAATCCCTACTTAACCCATCCCCCATCCACCTCCCCTCTGATAACCATCAGGTTGTTCTCTTTAGCTAAGAGTGTTTCTTGGTTTGTCTCTCTCTCTCTTCCTTTGTTTTGTTTCTTAAATTCCACATATGAGTGAAATCATATGGTGAGCAAAAGTGTTTTAAAAATTCTTTAAGATGATTCTCATGAGCAGTCAGAGCTGAGAGTCACTGCCTTAAATAATAAAACCTGACAAATGCAAGGCATGATTTATTTACATATATATTTTCAGAGGCATATCTACAGGTGACCCTTGATTACAAGGTACAGGGAAGGTAAAAGTATAGGGAGTTCATGGATAACCCAATCTCACAGTAATAAGAGTCCACTCTTGATTATCCAAGGGGGGATTAAGTGATTTACAGACTGCTCATGATTAAGGCTCAGCAGGCCATGATGATGGGCTCACTTCTCCCAACTCCATTCCCAGCTCTGGCCTCCATACCTTCCTTCAACAGCTTAGGTTCTTAGAAATATGGGAGCAGCAGGCCTGTGCTAATTATCCTGAGCCTCAACTGTACTTCAACTGCCGTTAATGTGCAAACTGATTAATCAGCAGCACGATAATAAAGAGGCAACTAACTATGCTTTGTACTGGTGAAGTCGCCTCTTGCTGAAAACGAGCTGCACGTGGAGAGTTCATTTTTATTCATTTTCCACCTTCATGTGTCAACACAACTTTTAACTAGGCAATGATGGGGCAGTTTTAAATCTGACAGTAAGTCATGTATCATTGCCTTAAGAACTCTAAATATTTAAGGCTTCTTGCATGCTTTTAGACAAAATCAATACTGTGGAGGAACTCCGTTTTCAAGTTTATAGATACAGATTTAGAGGCATGATGGATATAAACTAATAATGTTTGCCACTTAATTCTAATATAAAGTCTGTGCTTTATATGAAGCATACTTCTCAAGTAAATGCTTCTCATTAGTCTTGCAGAGTGTAACTAGTTCCTTCCCTCGTAAAGCCTCTCCTGTGAGGAATTAGTCTCTTCCCTCTTCTGTAATAAATGAGATACCAGAGACTAAAGAAGTCAACATACCTCTTTTGGAGTTTGTTTTCCCCTTTCTTCCAAGTTTTTATTTTGAAAGAGTTCAAACAATGATGTGGAAAAAACTGTTTAAGAAATACCCATATACATTTCTCCTAGATTCAACATTAACATTTTGGGGTGCCTGGGTGGCTCAGTTGGTTGACCGTCTGCCTTCAGCTCAGGTCATGATCCCGGGGTCCTAGGATCGAGTCCTGAATCAGGCTCCCTGCTCAGCAGGGAGTCTGCTTCCCCGCCTCTCCCTTTGCCCCTCCCCCATGCTTATGTGTGCTCTCTCTCTCTCACATAAATAAGTTCTTTTTAAAAAATTAACATTTTGCCATATTTATGCTCGCATGAGCTCTCTCTCCACACACACTTCTTTTGGCTGAACCATTTGAAAATAAAGAGCTGACTTAATGATTACTTCATTGCTGAAAAATGCAGCATGCATACCCCCGGAATGGAGATATTTCCCTATATAGCTTTAATAACGTTGTCACTGTTAACAGAACTAACAATAATTTCCTAAGAATACAGCCAGTACATTTTCAAGTGTCCTCAATTGTCCCTAAGATGTCATACATTTTTTTCAAATCTCTGGTGAATTTATCATGAAGTTGTATGGCCATGAATAGTGTATGTGTTCATTAAACATGCTAGTTCCACAAGGAATACCTGGCAGACCATGGGATTCTCTGTGGTCACTGAAGAAAGCAACTTCCCACCTCTGCAGTTATCAACCTAAAGATTTATTTGTAAAGGTTTCGAGATGTCCTAAGCTCTTCTTTCCCCTGACTACACTACAGAGCTATTTGTGACAGCCACAGAGGTGTTTTTCAAATTCAAGCGGCCACAAACTCAATGAAAGAACATCAGTTTTACCTCTAAAGTTCTCCTTACCCTTTCCTTCTTTTCACAAATCCTTCATTCTGATTAAAGCTGCCCCTTCCCGCCCACCTGAGTAAGTGGGTCTCTGCAGCAGCTAACAGATAACGATGGTGTGAGAAGCCTCGGAAGCCTGTTTGCAGCCTTGTGGCATGGCAAACCCTTCTATTTTAAGGTTGACAGAAATCGAAAGGTAGTATAACTATGGCCGTGGGAGTGGTAGTGATGTGGCGGTGATGGTCCCAATTTCAGACCCTTGTCCCAAAGTAAATATATATTCAGAAATATAAACCGTAATTAGGTTCAATCGAGCACTTGAGATCCCATTCTAGAACTGGGCACGTTTTGTATATGACCAAAGTGTTACTGATGCCCAAGGAAGTGCCTATCACCTGCGATTTTGTAAGTTTTGTGGGGTTTCCTTAGGCCTGGAGAATAAGGCATGTCTACACTTATGTCATCCATTTATCGAATAACACCTCCTTTTAATTGGGACCATGAGGAGATCAGGATTACCCGACCAGGATAATGACCACAGCCAACCAAGAGACAGCTCCTCAGAACATCTCAACCAATACCTGGGCAACACCTTATACCCAAGAGCTTAGCTTCATTAGTGGAGACAAGTGCTTTCTCTTGTGCCAACACCCACTTAACCCTGACATGCTATCATGCCTGTAATTATTCTACAAAGGGTGCTTATGTCTGACCAAACACTTGAACAGCCTCTGTAAAATCTGCTTGCGAAGAATGTCCTAGAGAGTGTAGAGTAATAAAATATTTATTGTAGGTTCTTGTGAAGTACAATGTACATCTGTATGTCTGGAAGTCAGCATCTCTAAACACAGAGGAGTCCCAAAAATCTGACTACCGGTTGCTTATTAAACCTCTAACTTGGTGATACTGTTCCTATCACTTACTCATCTGCTCTAATTTACCTTCATTGTTCACTGAATAAGTCTAGCATAATTTCACCCACTATTGACATTGGTTAAATATGATAAGCCACCTTCGAAATTAGTTTTATGGCCCAAAGAGTTTCATCTATCATTAGCTCATGACTGTGCACATTTAAAACCAGGTACTGTGTGTGTCTAGAAGAATGAACCACCCTGAACCCACATGCAGCAGGGCTATGTTGCTGGAACTTCTTGCATTAAACCAGTATCTTTTCAACCACAATTACTGAAAAGAAGAAATGGCATGAACACCAGCAGAGATTCTGGTAGAAAACAAAATACTATCACATCTTGAGAAGGCCCATCAAAGGTAGCTTTGATGCTAAGGGATCAAAAACCTGACCAATATCATCTTTAACTACATGCTAAAACAATTCTAGCAAATTCCAACATGCACCCAGTATGTTCAGGAAAATCAAACACTCATGTGGATGATGTCAGCAATGTTAGCTACCAATTATTATTAATTCTTTTAAAAAACTGAAATAGATTTGACCTTGAAGTGAGAAAGGGACCCATGTCTTTGCTAGGACTTTGAGTTCCTCTCTGTGGGCCATTAGGGATTCACCTGCAGACAAGCAGGCTATTTCTGTATATGGCACAATTGATTTTTTTTAACCAATGATTTTTTCCTGTGTCCATGGCAGTACAGGAAGATTTATGAATGCAAAATCAAACATGTAGAAATACCGTTTTTATCACGGGACAAAGAGCTTGATTCAATCATAGCAACGGAAATTCAACAATCCAAGAATATTTGAAGGAGAACACATACCTGCTCTTTGGATGGTACGAGGAGTTCTTCAATCATCATGCTGTCCCGTGCGTAGGAGCTTCTGTTCAAGGTGTACGACCTATCCGAACTGAAGGAGCGGAGGCTGTTGTATTTACAGTTAACCATTCAAGAGTGGTGGATGATGATGAGATGAATAAAATAAAATTAATGCATGCAACTTTGAAAACAGGCAAGATGGCTAAAAATATCAACAGAAGTCGTTCTCGAAAAGACATCATCAAAAATAAAATCCTTTATATTTGAGGAAATCTCTTCAGCTTGGACAATCTCATGATCAGATTTTGTTTAAAATTAGGCCAAATGGTGTTAAATCTGTGAGAATATGAAATGCATGAAAACTTTGGATGTTTCAACATGACAGTTGAACCAACATGGCAATTGAGAAGAACCAGATGACTCTCGATAATCTGATAATTGGAGAGAGTTTTCTATGGTAAGACTGTATGTTAGAGTCTCCTTTATTTCTGGTCCGTATCTGTTCACCTTGCACTATTGAATGGAATTCTGACTGCTGCAAATGGGTGTGTTCATAAGTCTCTGGAAACCAGATATGGGTTTAACCTAGTAAGAGCTCGGGTTTACAGCTGGACTCATGGAAAATGTAGAAAAGGTCTTATGACAAACAGACCTTGCGTGATCTTTGCCGTCTTTCTGGCCTTGAAAAATTCAAATTTCACACCTGGTTACTTTGTCTTTCCTTGCTCTCTTCCTTCCTTCCTTGTGCCTTATATTGTTCTCCTCTCTAGCCTCTCTTAAATCCTCTACACAGCCCCTGAGGTTCCCAGAGTGCAAGACCCCTGATGTCCTGAAATGCCTCTCACACACTGACCTCGAAACTAAAAACCAACAGAGAGTTGGGGGGAGGGAGTGGCAGGGCAGGAGAAGTGGGCAAAGATGCTCAAAAGGTATGAACTTCCAGTTATAAAATAAGTAAGTCCTGAGAATGCAGTATACATCACAGCGACTTAGCTAATAATATTGTACTGAGTATTTAAACGCTGCTTAAGAGAGTAGATGTTAAAAGTTCTCATCACAAGAAAAAAAATATTTGTAACTATGTGTGGTGATGGATGTTAATGTGACTTATTGTGGCGATCATTATTTTGTACACCTAAAACTAACATGTTATATGTTAATTACATCTCGACTTAAAAAACAATAGAGTAAGGGATGTTGGGAAGCCTGCACATACGCATACTGGGATTGTAGCTAATCCGAGCCTTGGCAGAACGCCTTGGGATTAATCCTCCAGAAACAGAGGACAAGCTTGTGAGGAGCTGCTCTGAGGTCATGTCTGTCTTGCCTCCCTATCCCACCCATCGTGATAGGCTGTCATAAGGTAACTTTGCATTGCTCTTGTTTTGAAGGAGGTCTGACACTTCCTGCCCTGCCCTCCCTGGAACAGAGCTGCAGAACAAGAAACCTCTTAGCGGCAGTCCCAGCAATGCAGTATCCCACAACTACCGTGGTAGGTAGACAGCCCCTCTTGTTTCGGTGGCGTCCTTACTCATATGGAGGACAAGGACAGTGGGAAGTTGCCACCCGTCACTGCCCATGTAAACAATAAACTGTCTGGATCTAAATGTGGCTGCTTGAATCTTTACCAATAGAATCAGGCCTTGGCCTTGCCTTGTGAGTGTGTGACAGGGAAAACAGCAAAAAGGTATATAAGAAATGGTTTCTTGCTTTACACAAAATGACTTCTTTTCTCCACTGCTCACTATACTAAAGATTACCCAAGGTGGGTATTTTTATAACAAGATACAGAAGCCCCTGAATTACAGGAATCATTCTAAGGGTCTACACAAATGAGTAGATGCGTTCTTCTAGGATTAGAGCCTTGCCTTCCACCAGAATCTTGGGGGGATCTTCAACTTCAAAATAACCATCGTTCCCTAGTGTATTCAGCAAATATGTACGGACTCTTATGAGTAAGGCACAAATGTTAGAGACTGGATAGAGAAGCAAAAACAAAACCAGAAAGAACTAAGCCTTATTTCTGCACAGAGGAGTTACCTAGTAAGCCACGTGCCTGGCCATGTGCATGGGTGGGCCTTCTGGACCCAGTCACAGGACACATAACTCTTCATTTTTTTTTCCTGCTTCAGTGGCAAACATTTTTTTTTTTTTTGTTACTCCTGTTTCTAGCCCCTTACCTTCTCTCAAATACAATCTAACTCCCCTAAAAGCAGATATTGTCTTTCTACTCTCTAACTCAACACTGTCCAATAGAACCTTCTGCAATGATGGGCATGTCTTAATCTGCACCGTCCAAGACAGTGGCCACTGGCCACATGTGGCCGCTGAACACCTGAGGTGTGGCTAGTGTGACTGAAGAATTGAAATGAATTTTATTTAATTTTTACTAATTTTAATTTAAACAGTCTTTTGTGGCTAGGGGCTACATCATCAGTGTAACTTCTAGCACTCATAGCAAGGTTCCATTTGCCCCAGTGATGTGGTGTGGGAGGCACTGGGAAGCCCCACTCTGCACTGCACATTCATTTTTAGAAATTCTGGTTTCCATTGCATATGCTAACATTGGTGGAACCACATTACAGGATATGTGAACAAACACTTAAATGTTTAAAAAAATTATTACCTATTCATTTTAACTTCAGTTTTTAAATCTATCTAAGATTTGTTAATATTTTAAAAATATCCTCTGTTTCTTTTAACATCTGTATGAGTGCCAACTGAAGAACAGAGCCTAGAAACTGGGTGCTGTCAATGGAAAAGCCTGAAGATGTCTTCGTTTTATACAATGTCTAAGTTCCTGCTCCTCACTGTTCCCAACCAAGTTACATTAGACAGATGGAGCTCATTATGTCCATCAAGCTTAGCTCTGAATCCTTAATACATCAGAGCCATTTCAGCTACTAAAACAAGATATTATTTGCATGGGGATCTGGAAAGCATTAAATTGTTTTTAACTAAGGTCAACTATATTATTTGTAGCCATCGGTACACCCTAAGTGTTAAATACAGGAAGTGTTAGAAAAACACATGCCTCAGAAGTCTAAAATTATACTAATGTACCTAGCACAAAGTCAAATAAAACGGCCACCAGCAAACAGACTGCTTTTCAAATCAAGACTTTTTCTTCAAACCCAATGAAAGTTCTCCAGTTACTTCATGCACTATACAAACTTTGTTAAAGGAAAGAAATTCCTTAAGTGTTCAATTTTGCATTAGTCACATCTCTTGTCATACATTTAGTTACTTCCTAAGTTTCTCAGAATTACAAAAGTGATTTTCTAATGTTGAGCAGGAAAAAAAAAGAAAAGCACATTGCAGCACAGCACAGCACAATGCTGAAGAAAATAAAAATGAGAATATGAATCAGGGAAGGGCAGAAAACACCGTAAAAGGGACATATCTTCTTACCTGATCTTGGGACTAATTTAAAGTATTTTTAGAAAAACACAGGAGAAGTGGAAAGCAAAAAAATCAGACAGGGAAAAAAGAAAAAAAATGTTATGGTTGAATGAGTTACACATTGAATGTATTCCTTTTAAATGTTACACTCAGAATATTATATTTGGTGATACTCTAACAATACTTTAAAAAATATATCGGCTTTATAGATTTTATTTGCAGATTTGCCTCTGAGCATAACATGAGTTGCCAATGTAAAAAAAAAATGAGTTACACATAATAGCAACAAATCATAACGGTGCAATCAAGACCAGGAATGTGGAAGCCTTAGAACTGTCTTGAGAAAAACTATAAGAGACAATATGCTGGTTTCATCTCTCACTGGATGTCAGCTTCTACAATTTTCTATATACAAATGATTGATTCACAAAATGTAGCTTTTACATATTATCTGAGGAAGAGAATCAGCTAGTTAATGGATTGCAAAAGCTATTAAGCCTCCAAATAGAATTTTCTCTTGAGATCCTTTGAGATTCTGCCTATTTTCAGTTGTAGCTTGTGGCTCTGCGCGCTTACCTGAAACATTATGTATTTTTAAAAAGTTATTTTCCCCTTCCTATTAATGATACCTGCTACAATAAGCTTTTAAGGACTTTTATAAATACACTTATCAAGCAAAAATTCTATGGAGTTACATGACGTTCCAAATTCCACTAATAAAAAAACTGGAAGAAAAATTAATTCAGTATCTAAACTGGCCACATCAACAACACTGAGAATAAACTCCCAGGCTTTACTTTCTGGGAAGTGCCATTTACTATTAGACAATGAAATTTTTTACAACAGATCCTTAAACTATAGGAAAATGTCCTCAGGGCTCTGGCTTAGAAAGCTTAATTATTAGCTTTAAAATAACTTAACTGTCAGCAAACATGCTGTTAAACCAACCAGGGAAAAGAAGTCCCCAAATTCTGGACAAGGTCCTGTTTCTTTCAGCCAGCGTCAGGTAAGTATGAGCCAAGGTTTTTCACATGCAAAAGTTTTACACTTCAGTTTTAAGGACTGAATTTGCTGCCATTCCTGTCTGTGACTTTGGGTAAGTCTGGTAGCACTCCTGACGCATCCCTTGTAAACAAGGTAATGGCATAGTTTTAGAAGAGATACCCAAACACTTGGCAGACAATCCTAATAAACTATATGTAATTTTTTTTTCAAAAATGCTCTCTTTTAAGTCTCAATCATGAATGATGCTTTCAGTGAAGAAGAGAAAAGAGTGAGCAATCCATACAACTGTATCGCACTTACTGGAAAATAAGATTTTTCATTCACTGTGAAACACAATTTAATTTTGAAACACGGAGACCACACTGGCCCTCCCAGTTCTGTCAGTGAGCTCTTCTACTATCATGCCTGAAGCATGACTGCAAGGGGGGAACAAACCAACACTCGACATGTTAATCACGGAAAATCAAGGACCGAAAAACCACGAAAGAAAACGGCAGAGCATGTACACCGGCGGTGAGAACATTCTACCAAATTCACACCCTCATCCAAAGAGCACATCGCAGGATAATGTGAAACGTGAAAATGACTTTGGTTGATGACAAATCATGGTTGTATTAGATTAACTGTGAAAACCAGCAACGATAAAATACCTGGCGGAACGGGCCCCGAGACTGAAGCCCATGTAGCCCTCGGCGGGGAGAGAGTCGTCACCCAGCTCCTTAAGGTCCTGCGGCCCAAGATACTTGTCCGTGTCCCCTGTCATGGCGTCCTCACCTGCCAATGCACAAAGCAAGCCAGAATCAGAAGCTTCCCTTTCTCGAAAACGCGTCTATTGTGGAGAAAACCACTCCTTTGGTCATCAGCAAATCATCCATGTTCTCATTCACTTTCCCTTACCCCCAGATAATATGTGTTACTGACGTTTAGAAGGAAAAAGGAGAAGGGAGGTTAGTTCATAATTTCAAGAGTGAATGTAAGTAGCGAAAGGGCTCCTGGGGTTCAGTACCAATTTTAAAACATTTCCCCGATCTCATCCCCCGCCCCTCCCTCAAGCCCTGGCTGACTAGAAAGGTGGATCTTTTTTGTCAGTTAGCTTTCCACGCCTCACCACAAGGAGGGCAGCTTGTCCGAATGGACGTGGATTGCAAACTAAAAGCCACCTTGCCATTACTACTCTGGAAATTAGACATGGGAAAGGAGTGGACTTTTTTTTTAAATGTCTTCTCACACACAAGATTTCAGTTTGGGGCTTATGTAAGAAACTAGCAAGTCATTTAACCGGAACTATCACTGATTCGCTGGAGAACATTGAAACACATCAATTTCGAACTGTTTCTACACCTGTCACATGAACAGCTCGGTCCAGCTGCCCCAGGGCTGGAAGGTGACTTGGAAAGGAGTTCTACCTTCTGTAGAGTCCAAAGGCAGAGACCAGCACTTTGAAAGAAGGACTATATAAATTGCTCTCTGCCCATCAATACAAAGAGTTAATTCCGTAAAACTTTTACTAGCTACATAGGCATAACATGACCTCACGGAAAAACCACATTCCAGGAGTGACAGAGCAGGTTTTTCAAATGCCTTTTGCCCTCTGGGACGGTTCCCATCCTTTTGAAAACGCAGCACAGTCGGTGGAAAAGTTAGTTCTGCAAAGCAGGCAAACCTAATCCCCTTTTTATGACTCTCCTTCCCTTTCTGGACACAAGTTTGGCTGGCCGAGAGAGATTTCAAAAGCGTGGATGTTATGTTTTCTCAAAGGTAAGTGATTCATCTGTCCCAGCTATATTTTCCAATTCCTTCATTCAGTACCGTTTATAATTTCCATTCATTTAAACCCAGGAAACCACAAGAGCTTAGCTTTTAAACTACCAATCAAGTCTAAAAATACACTGTCAACTACTGTTTTTGCAAATATAAAAAATAAACAGATCTGCTTTCTACTACTACCCAGTACCGAGAGATTATTTTAAGTAACTATTCACAGCTGGGCTATTTGCACATTCACTGCATCTGAAACAAACACAGCACACACCAAGTACGACTTAAAGAAAGCGCTTACTCTGTGGTAAAGCCATTTCCACCAGGCGGGGCTGATCAAATGTTTCCCTGATGTTTCCAGGAATTCCTTAAGCAGTGATTTAGAATGTACCTCGGAATCAGCCCAAACAAACCGACCCCTGGGTTGTATTCGCCGACTTCACCACCGCCGCTGGGTTCTGCTCAGCATCTTCGTGTCCTCACAGGCAGTTGAAGAAGTACACATCTTTTTCTAACTCATCAGAGTTCAAAGATTTTCGATATTTCAAACCAGAAAAAAATAAAATAAAAAAGAGCCAAACCTGGCTACCCTTAATTGAGAAGACCCTTTTGATCACTCTGCAGACATCCTTTTAAAGCTCCTTCTGATTGGACCAAAAACTCCACTGGCAAGCCTCTAGCAGGACCGAATGGTGACATAAATGCAAGCCCTTGAGTTATTTGTATGTAAATATGAGGACTGCTCCAGTGTAGACTTTCGGTAATTTGATACCAATGGCCGGTGCCTAACTGGGTAACCGCGACAGCCTTAAATCTAGGGAGAGCCAGCGAGCGGGGTGCTGCGTTTAATTACGAGGTGACTCTTCTCCAACATGAATGAAGAAACGGCCAACCCAGGTAGAGGAAAAACAGAAGAAAACAAAGAAGCGGCCCAGGCGGGGAGTGGCCCGGAGCTCCAGGCAAACTTTCAACTTTGTTCTCGGCTGCGAACACCAGGAGCCCTGGTTATTTATGGTCCCTGTCAGGTGGAAGGAGGGGAAAAAAAGAGCTGGAGGGAGGGCCTGCCCTTGAGCCGAGGTGCTGAAACTGGCGGGCCGAAGGGAGCCTTGGTGGTTCCCGAATCTCTCCGAGCAGCACTGGAGGATACACGAATCCCCACTGCTTTTTATCAAGAGTTGGAAGAAAGGAGCAGAAGTGAGACGAGCTGGAAAAAGCAAGTGGATGTCTGCTTCACTTTGGGCACAAGTTCTTTCGGCTCTTTAACACCCTCAAAGGAACTCCCTGGTGCTCCCTCCTTGAGAGGGCTCGGCGGGGAGCGCCCAAGCAGGGGCCAAGAGGTCTTTGCTGCAGAGGGCAGGACGCAGCCCAGAGGAGGTGCTTTGGTCACTTTGCTGTTACACTGTTTCCCTCTCTCTGGGACTCCTGGCCTCCCTTTTGAGCTGCTCCACCCTGTTTGTGTTGGCAGTGGAGGAAAAAACTAGCAGGACTTCTGCATCCTCCATCTGGGTACGCTTGAGAGGCGATTTCAATGGCTTTTTTCTCAGACTAGCTGGAAAGTTAGGCTAGACACTAAGTAAAGGGTTTTGAACGGTCTTGCTGAAACAAGTGGTTTACAGCACTTTTCCATGAGTGTGTCTATCTGCTGGATTGTTCTCTAAAGATACAGAAATTTCAATCTGTAGAACCGAGGAAGTGGGGAACACATTTGTTTTTCCTGGATAAATGCAGAGCTCAATGAATGCATGACCCATCTAATAGTAAGATGACAGGAGACCCGGGGCTTTAATTTGAGCAGCCTGACTGTAATCAACACGGTAAATTTGCAGGAATAGAAGGGAAGCCATTTATAATGGCTTGAATTATGTATTGAAAAATATTCCCAAGCAAAAGAAAAATATGTATTGAAAATGTACTGAAAAATATTCCCAAGCAAAAGAAGAAATTTCCAACTTTGCAAAGAATGGAAGGGGAAGTCATGATTAAGATGGAAAAATGACTAAACATTAATCTGTTTTCCACATCTGCACTTAAGATCTAAACTGCTTAGCAAAGCCTCATTCAATGACTGCCGCTCAGTCAAGCTTCCTAACAAGGACTGCAATGAAAAGGTTCCTTCCTCTTGACTTCTCCGCAGGCCTTCCCTGGCCAGTCCAGCACACCTGTTGCCCGTCTGTTATACAGAATTATTTCAGTCCCTAGAATTCCGAAACTCTTTAGACTTTAAACCATTACATAGCGTGCACCCTTGATGGAACCTTTATCCCTCTTCTTCTCCTGAGTAATCTCTTCAATCTTTGACTCTAAAATTCCTCCTGTCCTGGACTCACCATCTTAAGTTAGTGCACTGTTCTTCGTGTGGGCTTCCCTTATCAGAGCGTATTGCCAGGGAAAACGTCTGTTTAGTCTCTCCCACTGGAGGGTAAGATCCATGCTAGATTAGGAACCAAATTCTTCCTGAACCTGGCATATTGCAACAGCCCCATAAATATTTTTGGATTTCATCATTGCTTTTATTAAAGAGCATAGTAAAAACAAAACAAAACAAAACAAAACAAAAATCAAAGAAAACCAGACTCTTAAATACAGAGAACAAACTGGTGGTTGCATAGGGGAGGTGGGTGGGGGGATGGGTGAGAAAAAAAATAAAGAGGCTGGTGGTTGTGATTTTCTGCTCATCTACAGGCCACAGCAACTTAGCACTCTCTGGCATGCCAAGTTTGATGACTGGTATACAGTAAACTGTTAATAAAGTTAAGTTTCTATTCTTCTTTACCCATCCTTCTTAGACTTCCAAAATGGTCACTATGAAACCAAAAGATGCCCAGAGTTGAAATGGGGGTGAGAGCTATCAATATATTTGGCCAAAGATTCATTAAAATAGCCTTATGACATGGTGAAAACATTTCTTACAAGGGGTTTCAGAAAGTAGGAACCCAGGCGATGGTATTACTTTAAGGCAGTCTTGCATAGTCAGTGCTCTGGATTCAAATCCTGGCTTCATCATTTACTAATTAGGTGACCTTTGGAACACTGTTTACTCTGAGTCACAGTTTCCACCCCTACGAACCTGGGATAATAACTCTGCCTCTAATCTTAGCCCTCTTGAGGGAATTCAATGAAATAATGCACAGAATAAGGGCTTTATCAGCACAGTTAGTGTTATTCTGTAACACCGTCTCTGCTCTCCACTGCCTAACGCAAGGCCTGGCTCCTAGGTACTCAATAAGTATTTGTTGATTGACGGATTGAATGAATAATAATAGACCACACTCACTCTCCTTTCAATAAACAAAATATTCTATAATTTTGTACAGTACAACACACTGTTATATCAAAAATTAGAAAGGAATGACATGAATTGTGTTGAACGGCTTGTTAATGGCCTCTAATTCATTCTACAACCCAAAAATATTTTGATTAGTGATAGCTTCGGACCAACAGGCCTGAACATAGATAAGCCAACAAAGATAATGGACAGCTCTGATAGAATATCAGATATATTTAGTTGAAATATATATATATTAGCAAGAATCACACATTTTCACTTACTAAGAAGCACTTGTGTGGATTTATGTTTCCTTGAAGTGTTTGGTGCAGTGTTATAACAGTTGTGTTGTAGATAAAACTGCGAATTTTGTGGTGAAGAGGGTGTGGCAGCTAGTGTTTAAAGAAGCTTTCTCCCCACCCCCACCACGATCCGCGTCTCTTTCATTGAACCTGGGCTGGTTCAGTTTTGAACAGTAAAATGCAGGGAAAGTGATTTTGCATGACTTTTCATTAGTTCAAAGAAACCTTGTAGTTTCTCCTTGGCTCTCTTTTGAACACTAGTTTAGGGGAAGCCAATCCCAATGTGAGATATGTGACTACCGTGAGACCACCATGCTGTAAAGAGAGTCAAAGAAGCCATAGGGAACATGGAAAGAGAGAGAGAGATGCCCAGCTAGCCCTCAGCTGTTTCAGGGCCGTCCTTGCGGGGCTGACAGACCTATAACTGAAGATACCACATCGAACATTCT